TATATTCGAAATTCTGAATTTTCGAATAAACGAATTACGAATAAATTTTATTCGAATACTTCATTCGGATACTTGAATATTCATTCGATTTCGTCCAAAGTATAGTTCACATCTTTTGCTCGGCTTCGCCATTGTGAAAGCTAAGCTTTCTTGAAATGAAATGCGTGAATTCTACAAAGTGCTGCCAGAAAACGCGCCGGTGATGCATTCACAATTACTACGTTTTATTCAGATGCTAGCTGTCGTATCATCATCTCTCCAACTCTACAAATTTTTCTATGAGTGCATGCTGCAAACAACCTGAGTCCAATCCGCTGCATAGCTGGAACAATGGGCGCCAATCCAATTAATGTACCAACAGCAACAACGGAGAAAAGCGCATTTTTCTTTGCCGGATCATTCAGCCAGTGTCCTAAAATTAACAAATTCTTGATTGAGAATATTAATTTTCAGAAGTATGGGCATACTCACGATGTGCTGGATTAATCTTAGCTTGAGAATCCACCACATCCTGCATGCAAATTACCGTAAAGTTCAAAGCTTGCTGATTGCATAGAATGGAGGTGATCAAGAAATGCGAACTGATAAGTATGATATACCTAACAAAACTTCTCCTTTGGACCTCCATTAAGCCTGAATTAGTTTTTATGGTTTCAAACCATTGAAAATTTGAAACGATGGCGATATACACGACAAATATGCGAATAGACCTCGAACGGAAAATAAAACGATGTCAAAATTTGCCTGGTTGAGGCTGCATAGTGGCAGTAGTGACAAGTTAAGAAGAGAGTTGGTTAGAAATAAGTCGGTACGCGTTCAAAAGCTACAACATCTTTTTTATAAAACAGTCATAAGAAGCTATATTGAGCAATAATAGTAAAATACCGAAAAAATGTGTTGGAGGATGATCGAAGAGCAGTTCCCTATGAATTCTCTTGAGTGAAACAATCTTTTGACTGTAACTGAAAAATGCAACCCATGTTTGTATATTTATCTTCCGATACTACAGCCTATCCGGCTCAATTTAATTAGCCGGATAGGATGTAGGAAACGCTGCACCGAATTCATGGGTAGATCAAAAGCTTCCGCGCCTAGAATACTAAAAAATTCTAGAGTTCCTATTGTACATTCATAAGCATTTAGAAGACAACTTTTGAAAAAACTGATAAATCCATAACAAAGTGTTGTTCTGGGATTTGATTGCTGCAGTATAACATTCTGCTATACCGGAAGGTTTGCTTAGAATTTGTAACTTGTTGTTCCTTCAAGCGTTGCACTCCTGCCTGAGAGCAACCTCACCCACTTGATTACTTGATGTGCGTCATTCTGAGGAAAAAGAGGAAAATTCATGTTTGATTTTTTTTCCTTAGCCCCTTTCCCTTCTAAAAA